AATTCTGATGATAAGTAATTTTGCAGGTGAAAGAAGGGAAAAAAAAAAAAAAAAACGAAACAAAGCAAGCGTCTTTCATTCTGACGTATGTGATTCTGTGACAATAACCTTGACCCCGCTCTGCGTTATGTCTATTAGACTTTAAAAAATGATAATTGATATGAAAAATTGGCCAAAGCTTAGGTTTTCAATATTTTATACGATAAATACCCATAAAAATTTCACGGTTTACCTATTTGAATTTTCTGATGAATCTTAATTCTTAAGTTAATGATTGTATAAGCTCATGACGAGTTCTACGACAATAAAATATCCGCAGAAATTCCGCTATCGTATCGTTAAATATTTGAGTTTAATAATTTTAACAAAATATTGCAATGATAACAATCATCCTACCCTTGGGAAAGGTATGAATCCTTTTCTTTTCCCTCTCCAGCTATGGATAAATATCAGGACAGATTGGGTTCTATAACCTTGGATGGCACCTGGCCTACCGCAGAAAGAAATAGCAACCTACTGCGGGAAAAAAATCTGCCTCGTTAGTCATGTATCGAAAGATACATGATCGCCTAAGCGTGTATCACGCATGCCACATAACTGACTTTGAAGGAAAGCTGGTGGAGTAATAGATAGCTGCTCGGAATGAGGAATCGGAGAGCCGAGATTGAATTCTAGTCGAACCCATTACATTCACTTATGTGCTAATACCCGCCATACCCTGCTAATGATCGCCTAAGCGTGTATCACGCATGGCACATAGCTGGCGGACAGTAGATGAAGAACTTAGAGAGGGGAATTAAGCAGGAGATAACTGATAACATTAGACATGGCACGTGGAACTAGAACAGTCTACCCCAGTGAGCGAAATAAAGTTCGACATTCCAGCCACCTGAAGAAGGGCGGAGCGTACAACAGTCGAAACGTTGTAATAAATATGGCGACAAAGATGAGGACAATAGTTCGAATAATGTAAATAGAGTTCAGTACTATTTTCTTTGTTTCTGTTGCTTCAGGTCTCTTCTTTATATGTGAGGAGATTATCCAGCATTCACTGTCATATATGAGGACTGATATTATGTAACAGTTCAGTACTATTTTCTTTGTTTCTAACGAAATTCTTCTGTTTCTTCATACTTTGCTTAGGTTTTGGAAACCAACCATGTCCAACAATTTTAATATCTGTTAAAACAACAGAGGACGGAAACTATGACACTGAAATCCGAAGTCACATTGGGACAGCGAAAGATGCTTTCCTAATGCTAAGCATCTCAACGAAAGCTTCTGTTTAATGAAGTTTTCGGTCATTGATACACACGCTAGAGAAACAAAAAAAATCTGAACATTTAATTTCTATTAGACCCGATTAGACACATAGTTAAGAAGTAATGGCCTCATGTTCGAATCTTGTGCATATTTTTCTTTAAGATTTTTTTTTAATATTCAGGCTAGTAGACAAAAAACAAGAAAGTCCTCTCAAATGTGGATATTCTCTAAGAATAACGTGTAAATAATAAAATATGTTGGATTAATAAATAAAAAGCTATCACTTTAACCAAATGAGCAGACATCAAATTTTTTAATGCTTTTTTTTGGTTGTGTTGAGACTATTCTAGACAATCGTTTCCCATAATCTTCTAAAAGACTTTCTCTTTCTGAATTTAAATACAAGTGCATGTTTAATTTCCGTTTTCTTTGAAATTTCCTCACATAATCAATAGTATTCTCATTCTCCTCCTGTAAAGCCACGCTAACACTCTTTGTCATATAGTAGGATTCATATTCCATAGCAGTTGAGCACTCTTTTCTTTTGTTTCTTAGTCCTTTGTTTCACGGTCAAAACTACTATCATATTATAATTCAGCATATCCCTTCGTTAGATCATGCGTACGTTACGCCCTGAGTACCCCATAAATATTGGACTCTTCCATTTTGATCGTGGGTAAAGACGAAAAAGACATAGCAGAGACGCTGTTTAGTTTCAGTGAGAAAAAGAAAGAGAGGAAAACTGCGAATAACGATAGGAAAGCGGTCATAGAATAAAGATAAAGAGTAAAGCAAGTTTCTTACTGACGGTAGAAACAAACATGTATGATAATGGCCAAAATTACAAAGCGTGGTACTTGGATTTTTTCCCTCTATCACCGTTTTTTTTAAGGAGTTGCAATAAAGAGGCGGTAAGAGCCTCGTGTGTTCAACGTCTGCTTCAGTGAGATAAAAAAGCTTGTACAGTGATACCTCGACTTACGTCGTTTCGAATTAAGTCATTTTCGGAGATACGTCGTTTTTCTCAAAAATCTTCCAGATAATCTGGAAAAATAAAACTCACCTTGGGTCGTTTTACTCGTGTTTACGTCGGTCGTTAAAAATATTAGAAACATCGAAACATTTTGCACATATAAATTATATTCAAATAAATTTTAAAATAATATTACGTATACTTATATATATATATATATATATATATATAGTCAAACCTAGAGAGCTAGGCAAACCTACCAAGGTTTCACTTAAGCGGATTTTTTTTAGTTAGTTGATTACTCGTATCGGGTTTTTTTGTTCTTTGGGCTTTGGACCTGTATTCTGTACGATTATTTTCGACAGACGTTCATGTTCCTAGCTCTTCCTTTTTTTAAAACCTTTTTATCCTTCGAAATTGATTTGATCATTAGCAAATCAAGAAACCGAATGTTTTCCGAGACGAGTGTACTTACCTATATAGAATCATTAAAAACAATTTATTTCATTTATATATATATCTGGAATATATATATAACAACATATAGGTATACCTATATATTTTATTATAGATTTAAAATTAAATTTTGTTTACCATAACAGCTATCATAAAGTTACAATGACTATAGTTAAATTTAAAACTGCAATAGACTTACAATAAAGTTTTTGTCAGTAAAAGTGTGTGTCAGTTGATTATTGTGGTTGGCTTTTTTCGTCTTATCTGAACTGTTTGAAGAAATGAACATGTTTTCGGGTATGGGGAAGGTTCATACATTTTAGCATGTTTCAGTTGTTGTATATCGTTTGTTCTCTAACCGCTTAGCTTATCTCTTTGGGCAAGGGAGTAGCTTGGCGTAGATTTGTGTAAGGTCCTTTAAAGTTTTCATGCGTGATATTGCTTATGGCGATCATGTATCTTTCGATACATGACTGACGAGGCGGATTTTTTCCGCATTTTCCATAGGTTGCCATTTCTTGAATTATTTAGATCAGTTATCTCTCTATCCTCCTATTTACCCATTTTTGGATATTATATATATATATGCCTTTCCCAAGGGTATATGCAAAAAATAAATGTAATGGATTCGATTGGAATTGACAAAGTATTTCCTCTGTGTCTTCAATTCGAGTCCATTACATAAACTGTATCCTAAATAAAGTTTTTCTCAAATCCTATTCTATTCGTTTGTAAATTAATTTTCCAGCATTAATTTTGATTACCATATAGGACCGCTTGACGACAGGCAACCTATGTGCTGTGTCTGTATTTATGCAAGAAAGCTAACAGTCATAATTTATTGAAGAAATTGGATTTCTTATATTGAATGAGCTTTTCTAGCTGAAATTATTTGGAAGTAATTAGATCCTCAAACAAGGAGGTGCTTGTTTGCGAATATCGAGACATTGATATCATAGAATATTTGGATACAGAATAAAGCGAGTTTGTTACTGATGGTAGAAAACGTGTGTCTATGACAATGGTAAAAATAACTAAGAGTGGTTAGATGGTGTTGATCTATCTCCACCGATTTCTTCCTCTACCAATCTTTTTTAAGGATCTGCAATAAGGGTATGCTGATTGTTTTAACGAACATGATTTATCATTCGATCTTTTGACACTTTTTTTTTACCCAATGAAATTGCTTTTAAAGGGTAATTTTTTTTCTTTAAATTAATTTTTCACATTTTTAAAAATCTCTTCACTATTGTTTTACCCTATTCGAAACTCTTACCACAGCCGCTGGTCCAACAGATAAACCGAACCGCCCGTATCCTCAACTTTGGTAGAATTGTTAAGTTCTTTCTGTCACCAGAATAAGGAATGTTCTGGCTTAAGGGGTTTGTGAGCTTTATTTATTTATTTTTTTTTTTTGATTTTTTTGGTCATTTTTCCTGGATTTTTTCTATTTTCTTTTTTTTTCACCTAATAAAAAGGAGTTGTTTTTTGGAGTGATATTTTAAATGAAAATAATGTATCTTTTTTGTCATCCCATGATTTAATTCTATCAATTGATTTCTACGTCCTGTCATTGCAAAAAAAAAAAAAAAAAAAAAATTGAAAGAATAAAAATTGTTTTTTGGAAATTCTTTTTTAGATTTTTTTTTTTTTTTAACAAAAATTTTATCAAATTTTGTCTTTCTGTCTTTCTCATTTTTAAAAACTTACCCATCAAAATTTTATTGCAAACATCTTATAAAATTTTTTGGTTCTTTTTATCTTTCTTTTTTATTGTCTGTTTCTCGTCTTCGAACTTTTTTATTTATTTTTTCCTTGTCTTTTTTTATTCATTTCAAAATTCTAAAAATGCTTTTTCTTGAAATTTTAACCAGTTTATTTTTTTTTTTTCTTTTTTTTTTTTTTTTTTTTTTTAAAAAAGAAAATTGACTTATTGTCGTTTTAAATTTTCAACTCTCTCTCTCTTTATTATCTTGTTTTAAAATTATTGCCATAAATTTTTTTTTTTTTATTAAATTTTCCACTGTCTTTATTTTTACTCCATATTTTTTCCTCCCTTTCTTTTCTTATTTCCTATTCCGTTCCGATTTTTTTTTCTCTTCTCTCTTCTTTATCTTTAATTTTTCTTTCCTTTTTCCATTTTCTTTCTTTTTCTTTATGATTTTAAAAAAAATTCTTGTAAATTTCTGAAATCTGAATTTTTCAATTTATTTCGATTTTATTTCTAATTAAAATCATTTGGTAGGAAAAGATAAGTTTCCTTTAAATGAAAATTACTATTAAATTTTTTTCTTTTCCTGTCTTGTTTATGTCCTTTCTTTTCTCTCTCCGTTTACCCTTTTTAATACTTTCTAGCTCTTTTTTCTCTTTTTCACTCTCTTTCGTTTTCTTTTTAACTTATAAACAATTTTCTCTTTAATAAAAGTTTTTTTTTCCATTCTGTCTTTTTTTTATCCTTGCTTTCGTTTTTTTTTCTCTCTTTCTTCTCAAATTTTCTCTCCGTTTTTCTCTCTGGTTTATTTTCTATTTATTTCGAGTTTATTCCCCTCAACTTTCTTTTCTCTTGCCATCCTCTTTTTAAACTTTTTTTTCTTTTCTCAAAACTCCCTATCCTTATCCCCTTTTTTTTCTTAATTAAACCTTTTCTTTATTTGTTTTCATTCCTATAAAATATTTTTAAATTTAATACATTTGATTTTTCTTTATTATCAAATTTTTAAAAATTTCTTTTTCCTGTTCACCTTTTTATTCTCTCCTCTTTTCTACTTTCTTTCTTTTTTTAATTTTTTCTCTTTTTCTGAATTTTTCTTTTTATTAAGTAAGATCTTTTTTTTTATTTTTCAATAAAATATTTTAACAGGTTTTATAACGGTTTATCTATCTGAAAATTTGTTTTCTAATATCATAGACTTTTCTCGATATATCTTAAAATATAAGTATCTATTTATCTATTATTATCTCCTGAAATAACATTACACATCTATCTATCCTGTTTGATTTAATTATCTTTCGTTTAAATTAATTTTTTTTTATATTGATTATTGTCCGTCGTTTCCCATAAAACTGCTTTTTTTTTTTTTTTTTTTTTAGTAAATGGAACTTTTTATAAATTTACCCCAAAAAAGGGCAAAGACATGTATTGGCTCAAAATTGTGAATTAGATAAATCCTTTCCTTATTCAGGATCTCAAAAATAAAAGTAAAGAACATTGTAAGAATAAACAATGAAAAAGCATATCTGTCTGCCGAAAATTTAATTTTTTAAAGATACGCGACCGACCACTAAGGACAGATGAGTTCGCCCCAAAAAAGTGGCTGAGAAAGATTTCGCAAACAAGTTATCGGTCCTAGACATCATTCACCCCTAATGTGTTTTGAACAAAAATGGTCAGGGTGGGGACTTTAATGGTGTTGACGGAAAGGAAATCAATGACAATGTTGAGATGATGAAAAATTTATATGGAAAAAATTTAATTTAAATGTTTATTTGAGCTTAGGGATGTGTAAAGGAATAACAAAAAAGAAAAAGAAAAGGAGTTTTCATAATAAATTAGAAGAAATTAAAAATTTAAAAAGGAGGTGAAGCATAATAGATATTTGTTAGCTTTCCACCAAAATGAGTTCTTTTTAAAGTTTCACTGTAGCTGTTTTTTTTTCAAATATTTTAACAAATCTAGATTCTGAAGGAAAAAGGATGGAAACTTTTAAAAAAAAAACAGAACACGCGTTGATACAATATAAAGATTCCATTTTAAAAAAGGCGAAATTTGAGAAATTTGAAAAAAAATTTGTTAGAATTTGAGATTAGAATTAGTAAATGGTTTTTCAAATGAATTTAATCAGGATTTCATATTTGTTCTAGAAATTGAACCAGCATTTGAGGCAATAAAATTGAAAGTTTTTTTATGAAATATGAATATAAAGGAGACGTTAAATATTTATTTCTTTTCTTATTTCATTTTTCATATAAAATAAGTAGCGTATTTAATATATTTTTCCATCCAAAATATTTCAAAACGCGAAATTAACTGATTTAAAGGTATTAAAAAAAGACGTTAAACATTTCTTTCTTTCCTTATTTCATTTTCTCATTGAAACCAAGTAGCGTATTTGATACGTCTTTTCCATCCTTTCACGCGTTCAAAATTGGATAGTTTCTTATTTAACCATAAGTTTCATTGTAATAGTTTCTGCTATCGCATTTATCAGCTGCAGAACTCTCTTGCAGATTTCCTGTTAAATACCATTTTGAAAAATTTAAATTCAACGTTAATCGTCATGATCTTCATCATCTTCATCTGTAATCCTTTATCTTAGTTTTCTAAATCCCTTTAAAATTTGGCATGTTTAAGATTTTCAATGCACCGACTATAAAATTCTACCAATCTGTAGTTCCAATCGACCCTTATCTTACCTCTTTAAGTGAAATGAAGTGATTTCTTGGAAGACGGTTGTTTGGAACTAGATTCAGATAATTTTGCATTTCTGAACCTGTTGTAGCATACTCACAGACGATAATGAGTATGTCCCCATTCACATAAATACAGTAGTAAATACTGTATGTTGGTCTGAAGTTGGAGATTCGTCTCCAGCTGTGCTGGTCAAACTCTCTGCCTCCGGACAGAGAGGATCCCCAGACGAGTCTATGTCGAAGGTCAGAGTCTCGTCTCGGGGAACAGCTACTCGATCCCGTTTTTATATGGAGTCTACGGGGAATTTTTGGTCGAGCCTAAGGGCTCGAATACACCACTTTAAATTCGGCTTTGTGTCACATCTGACCGCGTGAGGCTGTTGGTAGATATCCTGTATTTGGAGATTCATTGTAGAATTCACTTGACTCACTTCTCGCAGTTGACTACTATTTCTACGCGCCGCTGGCGAATCTTATATGTGTTGTTCTTGTCCTAAGTATTATCGTTCGTTAGCAACCTTCGTTTGATTATTCTATTCAGTAACCTCCCCTAGGTTACAACAGAACCCAAGATGGATGATAGAATACAACTTTACTGTACTTTTCGCCTGTTGAACTTTATCCCAATTTCTTACTTTCCTGTCAACTACGATCTTCAAAATTTTAAAGGCAACATCAATCGTCATCTTCTCTCTTCTTGAATCATGTTGTTTTCATTGCCCCTTTCTCTTCAGTAGCGTTTTTTCCCCAGTTTCCTTCATTTTTGGTAACCCTAGCGTCTTAGTAGCTTTATTGCCTTACTTCGGTTTAAATGATAAAAACTATTAATAAAATACAATGATCAAGCGTTTTTATTTTTAAGTTTTGTTTTTACTATTATTCATCCAATACAAGGCCCAAGAGCCACTCAAGATAGAGGGTTAATGTGCGAAGTTATATTAGTTTAGGAAAGGACACGCATTGGGAATATAGAGTTGAAATAGACTTTAGAAGGAACCGGAAACCCAGTCCTAAACAGGAAACAATAGTTAAACTTCTATTCCTGTTCAAAAGATCATGGAGGAGTATGAACCTGACGACAGTCGAACCTATCTATTCCTATGACATTTGTAATTAGATTTGTAATTAGATGCATCATATGATAAGTTTTTTTATTATTATTTTGGGGAAATTGTAGAAAGAGAATTTTGCATTATGTTATCAATAAATTTAAACATAAAATAATGATCATCGAAATTGGTAGGTGGAAGACAATCAAAAGTTTGAATTCAAAGTGAGTCAATAGCGGTAAACTTCTATTTTCTAAAATTCAAATTATCTATCTATCTATCTATCTATCTATCTATCTATCTGGTTTTTTCTATTTATCTAGGCTTGATTTTCTATCTATTATCTATCTATCTATCTATCTATCTATAAAAATCTATCTATCAATCATTATCTATCTATTTCAGTCTGTCAATTAATCTATCTATCTATCTATCTATCTCAATGTTCTTATCTTATCTATCTTCTATCTATCTATCTATCTATCAAATCTATTTATCTAAAAAAAAGTCTGTTCTTATCTATCTATATCTATCTATCTATCTATCGATCTATCAAACAGTCTGTTCTTATCTATCTATCTAAATATCTATCTATCTATCTATCTATCTATCTATTTCAGTCTATTATATCTATCTATCATATCTATTATCTATCTATCTCAGTCTGTTCTTATCTATCTATCTATCTATCTATCTATCATATTTCATATTCTTTCTATTTCTATCTATCTATCTATCTATCTATCTATCATCTATCTGTTCAATCTATCTATCTATCTATATTTCTATCTATTATCTATCTATCTATCTATCTCAGTCTGTTCTTATCTATCTATTTATCTATCTATTTATCTATCTCACATCTGTTTCTTATCTATCTATCTATCTTGGCCTGTTTATCTACCTATATATCATTGACATTTTTATGTATCTATCTATTTATTTATCTATCTGTCTTGGCCTGTTTATTTTATTTATTTACAATGTCTTTATCTATCTATCTATCTATCTATCTATCTATCTATCTGTCTATCTATCTATCTATCTATCTATCTTGGCCTGTTTATATCTATCTATCGTGATTGTCCAGGAGTAATATTTTGAATTTAAGTACGTCATCTTTTTTTTTAAATTTTTTGAAAAAATTTCTTCCCAGACAAACTTTTTGAACAAAACAACAAAGAAAAAATGTGTGTATAATTAAGGTGGCCGTGTGGCTTTGAAAGCGAAAGCTTGTCGTGTACACCTGTGCAGTTCCTTTAACAAGTTGACAATAGATAACACTCTACTGAGAGAAGAAGACAAATAAATAAATAAAGAACCCGTAAGAAAGACAACAAAACATGTGAGGTCTTTGAAAAACACGTACTTGACACCGTACATGATTAATTCACTCAGTAATCAACAGGACAAAAGAGAAAGGACAAGCGATGACAATGGAACGTCCGGGTCCCCCACCCCCAAAGAAACCGTGGGTACTGCAGGGAAGGCCGTAGATGAATGATCGGGTGAATGGCGGTTAGGGGCGTGCTTCTGTCATCTATGCGGGTACGTTGAAGCGATGAATTTTCAAGGTGGCTGATAGAGTATGATTTAATGTTGGGGAGAAAATAAATAAGGCTTTATATATATTCTGTAAAGAAATAGTATGTTATTAATATATATATATATATATATATATAATGTTTTTTGTATATTTACGCAGCATATCTTCATTCAAATATGTTTCATTGAATAATATAGACATATGTTATAATTAGTTATCTCCCCTTTTTTCGCGGAAGAAACAGCATCATAGCATTATGAAAAAAAAAGGTCCCAAAACTAGATACTTATTTTTTTTTCCGGAAAGTAGCATAGCGTAATGGAAAAAGTCCACAAACTTAATAAAAATAAAGTTTTATCGTCAAAATGTTCATGTTATTATTAAGATGACAGACCAAGGTATTTTTTGTTTATTTTTTGAAATTTTTTAATCCTTTCTAACACTTTCAAAATTTTCGTTAAAATCTTGTTTTGTTTTACGTCATTGCAGTGGTATAATAATTACTTTGACTTTTTGGCGCTTTTTTTCCGTTGAAAACATATTGATTTGGAAATTCATGTAAAAATCAAATAATTGTCCGATTTTAATGAAATTTTCAGGACTTACTCATAAATGAATCAAATTATTTTTGAAATTTTTTTTAAAAAAATTTTTGTAAAAAATTTTTTTTTTTTACATATATTCCCCCACTTACTTAATTTCAAGAATTTTTCTAAAAAAAACTATTTCCTGAATTTTTTTATTCGTTAAGAGTTGGACTTCTTGGAGAATGTAAATCCCTATTTTTTTTTTAAACTTGCACTATTCTAACTGAAAATCTGCTCTGAATTGAAAAATAATGAATGCAATAAAACTATGACATTATTTAATTAGAAAAGCTTTTAATTGCTTTTGTAAATAAGTTATATTAAGGACACTATTGTCTGAAGAAATAAAATTTTTCCGATGAAAAATGAATTTTTACAAGATTTTTTAATTTTTTTTTAATTTTAATTATAACAATTTATAATAGCTTAATAAATTTAATCTTTTAGCTTTCAATTAAAGCTAAAATGAAATCTTCAAGAATGCTTTTTCATTTAAAAAAAATCATTTTAAACGTTAGGTATCGAAAATTTAAGCAGAAAAAAGTGGGTGTACCTAGTTATAATTATTTTTAAATTTTAAATTTATCTTTTTAGCTATTGAAATTTTTTTAAAAAAGCGTTCCAATATAATATTTAGGAGGAGATCGAAAGTACTTGTGTATAAAAAAACTACGGTGCCTTCCTTTATGAATTTTATCTTAACATCAAGAAACTGATGAGAGAACTGGAAAGGAACAGTATGAAAAATAAAAGAAATATATATTTTAATATTGAATAATATATATATATATATATATATATATATATATATATATATATATATATATATATATATATATATATATGTGTATATATGTATGTATGTATATATTCCATCATAAAATGGACAAAATACAATTATTTTAAGACATTTTTATATTTATACAAAATTTTTTATAGATACAGATATTTAAGTAAATGCTCTGTTTATAATAAACAGTATTAACAACATTGAATGTCCGAGAAATTTTCATAGAAAATATTCGTCCTCCGACAGGAATCGAACCTGTATCCTATACGGAACCGTCATATAGCCTGATGTGCCTTAACCGATTTGGCTACACTTACCGAACGATCCTCTCAGATCATTTTTGACTTTCTGTCACCCAATTTAGACGATAGTTTTATTTAACATGTGGTATAGTCTCTTGATTATAATAAACAAATAGCCCCGAAACATTCATCTAATCTAACGTTTGCCTCTGTGACAATTTAATTAGTTGCTGTTGTTGAAAGTCTTCACGTGATGAAGTTTCTGTTATTTGGTACAGTTTTTTTTATTCTGTAGTGCCAACCCATAAGGTTTAAAGACGGATAGTCCTCACATATGAAGAGAAAAGGGAGATCACCACCCTCTGTGGGATCAAGATGAGATCATAGACAAAGAACATCATTGGAAAATTTGTAAACTTAAGGAATCAGCACATATTCTGGGCCACAAAAATCTCCTGAGCTGACCAAGCATAGAAATGAATACAATATGGAAACCAGTAATAAGGAGTGCCAGAGAAAAGCGATAATAATAACAAAAATTGCAATATGAGCACTGGTAAAAAATAATAATACCCAGAAATTCATACACAGATGTCCTCAAGGATACATGGCACAGTGGATAAAGGCGTTAGTTAGATCCAGTGACAGGACTCAAAGTGTGTTAGTTCAATACCTGGTTAAGGCAGTGGAGAACTTACAGAGGGGAATTAACAGGAGATCATCCATTAGACATGACATCCATTAGACATGATGTTCTATGGAACTAGAACAGGCTACCCCAAACATGGCAAAAAACAAACAAACAGGAGAATAGGTCAATAGTCAAATAATGTAAATAGTGTACATAATACCTCATCTCAGTAATATAGACAGATACCTACAGGGTTTATTTGCTTGAAGTCACCTTTAACCATCGATACAGCTGACAATTTAGAAATTCCTGAATGGGTTTGGTGTCTTGCATGACACTCATATGAAAATCTCGATCAGATGAGGCGATTTAAGAACATAACTCAAAGATATCATTTTTTTTTTGGTTTTGTAGTAACCTGTGATGTTCAGTAAAAACTCTATCTAAAAGACTATTCTTTGCTAAATTTCTTACACTGTGCTACATATATATATATATATATATATATATATATATATATATATATATATATATGTGTGTGTGTGTAAAGAGGATGAGGCAATGTGAAATTTTTTTATCAAAGACACATCTCACTAGAGAAACCTTATCTTCATCTTTGGATGTCATCAATTTAAATATATATATATATATATATATATATATATATATATATATTATGGTGGAATGATGGATAGCAGATCATTTACATGCAAATACCCTTCAGAGAAAGGTATGGATCTATCACTTCTCCCCCTAACTATGTTTAAGTAGCAGGATAGACTGGGTCCTATAGATTTGGATATATATATATATATATATATATACATATATATATATATATATATATATATATATATATATATATATATATACTTTATTTTAGGATATTTCATCGAAAAACATGTCAAAATCACTACACAATTGCAGTCATGTTTCGATACATATCAATACATCTCATCAGGTGATTGTAAATTACTGGCGAATGAATGAATGATTTATTCAAGTAAAATACAGGGTCTTTTTACAAAAGAAGAAAAAGGGTGGTTATAAAGTTTTGTGGGCTTTACTCAAATCAACCAATCGAATATGACCTACGTTAAATTTAACCTAAGGGAAGAAGCAAAAATGAAAAATTTGCAATCGCCTGATTAGGTGTGTTGATATGCATTGAAACACGACTGCAATTATGTAGCGATTTTGTCATGTTTTTCAATGTAATGTCCTAAATTAAAGGATACATATATATATATATATATATATATATATATATATATATATAATAGTAAAGTTTACTTAACTGTATATATCAAATGCTTTTTTGTTGTTGTATCTCCGACTCCAATGTTTATTGGTGTCAACCATTCTTCAGGGGGTTCTGTATTTAAATGGGTATATTTCCAATGTTTTCCATATTTTTCCGATTTTTTTTCTGTGTCTTTTTTCAATCAATTTTGTACACATGTTCATGAATTTTTTTTTTTTTTTTTTTTTTTTTACACGTGCACATTCATGGATTTCTGCTTTTGCTTATGTCTTTTATTTTACTTCTCATAATTTTTTCTAGTTGTAGAATTTTTCTTCCTGTTGTAAATTTTTCTCCAAAATTAGAAATTTTTTTTTTTATGTATGTTTTATATTGAAGTTGTGGTGTGTCATATTATTAATTAAATTTTATACCATTTATTACTTTTAGTCAAATTATAATATCAAATTATTAATATTTAATTAAATTAATATTTTATTCAGTTATATATATATATATATATATATATATATATATATATATATATTTCTTAGAATAGATATTGATAGGTATTGTAACTATTTACTCTATTTACATTGTTTGGACTATTGTCCTCATCTTTATTGTTATAGTCACAATGTTTTGGCCATTGTACTCCCTGGTGTTTGTCAGGTAATATATGTTGGCATTTCAAACCAAACCATTTATTTAGTTCCCAGATGTAAATAGTGTGTATGCCTGTGTGTGTATATGTGTGTGTATATATATATATATATATATATATATATATATATATATATTGAATATATCAACACTGACAGGCTGTTTCATGCTCAATCGTCAGGTGGCCTAATGATTGTGTCCATCATGAAACAGCCTGTCGCCTCTGGGTGTTGACTTCAATATTCACTTATATACAGTGTAAACTGGATATAAGAGAGACTTTCTCTGGTCTCAAATTAGAGTCTGTGTTATTGTATATAAAATAGACCAAACAAGGGTATAAGAGAAACCCGGATATAAGAGACTTCTTCTCCGGTCCC